ACTATGTCAAAAAGTTTAGAGGAGGTGATTGCAATTGCCAAACTTTAGAGGAGGTTTCAACAACTAGAAACTTCAGGGGAGGTTTTAGCAATTTACCAGCAAGAATATTGTATTGACTATGAAAAGATATTTGCCCTAGTTTCCAAGATTACTACAGTCCGTATTCTCTTGGGCTCTATTTGATGTTTACTCTTGGCCCATTTACTAGCTAGATGTGAAGAATGTCTTCCCTCATAGTCAGCTAAAGGAGACAGTGCATATGAAGCCTCTCATGCCTAACTTTTACCCATACATCAAAACAGCCCCTTTATCTCCTTTGTGCTTGATGATCTAGAGGAAACCCCAACTGACTATCTTCATAGCCCCTTTATCTCCTCAAAATTTCTCTCAACCATGACATAGGAATCTGATTCTCCATTTTTGGATTCCAGAGTCATTTTCATAATTTCTGCCTATTTTGACCATTGGATCGATCTCCTAGAATTTCAGCTATTTGTATTTTCTTTTTAGTTGTCAACTTATTAGTTTTAATTCATTGGAAAAAAGGTTTGTTGTCTTGATCAGATTTAGTGAGTAGGGTCCTCCTAAAATGACATTGTTTTATTGCTGTTGTAGGTTTATGTATGGCAACTCAATGTACATGGAGGATACCTCATTTTTTTGTGATCAATACAATACCATCACCTTCAAAAATATATATAAAAAGAAAAAAAAAAAACATGACATTCTATTGAAATTGTAGTTTTGYCACTTCTCTTTCAGACTATTCCTCATAGACCAAAATACTGCCCCAATGAATCAATTCTTAGAATGAGTTTTGAGCCCAAAAAAATGGTCCCAGCAATTTTTGTACATCTTAACTTTAAAATGATTTTAAAATCACAAGATTCGTCAAAATTAAGTCCCTGAAAGAATGCCAAATGCAGCCTTCGTTATGAGAGTTAAGTGGCTTTTAGTAGAGTTGTAATAAAAATAGAGAAGTGTTTTTGTAGTCTGCTCAACCCTCTTTTCTACAAATAAGTCTTAGATCATTAAAAGTTGCACTGACCAATTTATTTCTTTTTTTTGGAAAAATAAAGTAAAAATCCATTATGAAGGAAAAAGAAAGTACATGAGAAAGGTGATAATAAGACATCACCTGAAAGAAGAAAGAAAACCCCACGAAACAACACCGGCTGAACCACAGCCTCACAACAAGACCCTAAAACAAAAATCACCTCAACTTATGATCTCCTATTCCCCCTTGAAAAGGAGACTTAAAAAAYCCCCTTCCCCAACAACTCTGCTTTAAATCTTACTCCTCCACGTCCTCAAGTTTGTCATCACAGCAACTTTTAAGGTCAGCTGAATCATTTTCCTTCCTTCTACTGTTCTCCCATTCCAGGAAAGCTCTACTAGCAAACCCCTCACCTCCTAAAAAGAAACAACCTAACAATTTACCAAATAGAACCTCCTTATCAACTAATAAATCCAGTTCCACTCTCTTCCTCCAAAATCTCCGAAATCTCCCTGACAGCTTCTATTCCTTCCTCACCAACCAAACCAACCAAACCAAACTTATTTTCTCCTGAATCTACACTCTTACCAACAACTTAATTATTTTTAGCCACACCTTTTACCCCTTTTCTTTTGCAAACCCTCTTATATTTGTTACTAGGGCCTGTCCCTACAAGACCATCGTTAAGTCGAGGAAAGACCTTTGTTCCATGAATAATATGTGATTTATTCAAACTATTTGTCTTCTTCACAGTCACAGCATCAACACCAGAAACACCTGTCGATGTCTCATGCTTTCTTCGACCAAAATCAATACCAACCATTCCCACAATCACTTTAGTAATTGGTTCAGAGTCAAATTTTTCCCCCTGTATCAAAACTACCCTCTCCATTGAGCACTGCTACATCATCACCTCAACCTGGAGTATTCAAAACCACCTCCGGAGCAGCAATCTCAGCTATGCATGAGGTTATCTCCCCACAGATTTCCACCCCACTAAGATTGTTTACAATGTTAATATAAGCAAAGTGATCAACAGTCGTGCAAGAAATAAAAGTAGATAAACATGGTTCCTGTACCTTTTCAAGGCCAGTAGTCATAGGTGACACAACTTCTCTCACATTTTTTTTTGAGAACAGGTAAATAATATCATTAAAAGAAAGAAGGAAAACAAACATGTACAACAACATTGAACCCTGAGAGTACTTGGAAGGCCACAAGTGCCCCACAACTTGATCTAAACCCTCAGTCTCCTCCTAAACACCACCTTTCCCCCTTGAAAAATCGTGTTCACCCTTCATCTTCACCCCCCTCCTTACTACTAGCGTCTTCTTTCCGTTGTCAAACCTCAAATGACCCAAACCCAATTGATCTTCAAGCAATTCTCCTTAACTTCCCCACTCCCATCATTTGCAATCATCACCCTCCCTCTTAAAATCCAATCCTCTTCCTCCAATTACCCCTTTTTACCTCTTTAGATTCTCATTTATTGAAGCGATCCCCACTCAAACTCCTCGCCTCCCTAAACCTAATAACTTGATCCCCTTCTCTCATCAAAGCCTCGTTAGTCGTTAATAGACTCTTGGGCTTCTCTACTCTCTAGGCCACCCGTCTCCACGTGACTTTCTCCTAAATTTTCTACCCTCAATTCTCCTTCCAAGTTTACCTCTCTGCCCTTCAAAATTTTTAGACCTTTGTCTTCCACCTACAGACAATTGTTCATCTTCCAAACCTCCTCTGCACATCTTTCAAACACTCCCCACCATTCTCAGGCCACAAATTATCCACCCCTCCTTAACCACTTGCAGCATTTAATCTGACCTTGAGAAATGTCCCATTCTCTCCTTCCAAAATTACTCTAATATTCCCTTGAAAACCAAAGTCTCAAAAAACCTAGAATACAAGAAACATCTTCCACCTCCACGAGGATTCTCATCATATCCAATTTATCCCACATTACATTTCTATTGTCAAAGGCAAAGAATCTCCCACAGCAATCCCCAATCTCCTAAAAGGTCAGAATACTCAAAGTGTGTAAAGGAATGCCAACCACCCCTAACCAAATTGCACTTCATTTCGCCATTTCACAGATCACCCCTGCTACTGGGAACCAATGCCCTAGGCGAAGATGGAGTTCTCTTTGCTTCAACTTCTCAGCTTCCAGGACCCAATCCACCCCTCCCTTACGTGAAATATGAAAAGGAATAGACCACGATTAAGTCTTCTTACTCCAATCACCCTTTCCTTTCCCCATTCCATAGTTGCCCAAGGTTCAACCCTTATCTGCATCCAAATCACTTTCAATGAATCTTCTAACTAATCTCGCTTGAAGAACCTTCATCTTCCCCTCCATCTTCCCCACCTTCCTAACTTCAACATGAACAACACTGGCAAACTTATAGAATATAGAACTGACATATCAGATTCAAAAACTGGTTTTCTTGAAGGATTTTCTTTTTTTTTAATTCTTGTCTCTCTTAATCAGGTAAGATCTAACCTTGCTCTTTTAATTCTTGCATTCGGATCTAGCCTCTACATTCTTTGTTAATTATTGGATTAATCTTTGATTAATTCTTKCCTTCAATGTTGATTCTTTTCATTCTTGCATGATTTCTTGCAACTTGCTATTCCTCTTGCATATTTCTTGTTTACCTAAAGAATCTTGTCTGGAGATTCTTCTTTCTCAAATTTTTTCCTTGCCCAGACCTATTTTCCTACAGTATCCCTTCATTCTTCCTTCCCTTTGATCCATAAGACTTGTCCTAAAGGAAGACAAAGGGGTTATTGCATCCCTATTCACCCAGTCCTAAATAGTTCTTAAAACCACCATAGACCTTTGTGAAATCTACCATATTTTCATAAGCAACAGAAACAGAAATTCTATTAATATTACAAGAAAGCAGTCAAACACAACAAAGATACTGGTAACAGGAGGAGACAAAAACGTCCAACTGAGACCTGGTTGCAGTCATTCATTATATACAAAAGGTCAAAACAATTACAAGGAACCCCATGGCATGGTATATGCCAAAGTAAAAGCCATTTCTCTAGTTAGAGCATCAGCCTTGCTAGGTATATAGGCCCCATATGGTTCTCCTCTATTATTTAGTGATGCTTATGTAAGCAGAAAATCATCTCTAGTGACAATTGACCTACCCTAGGCCCCATGTGATTCTTTCAAGTTGTGATAGTTATGAACACTTGTCTTAAGCTTTTGTTCCTTTTCAAATGGACATATACCAATGCTTCAATTGAATATGTGGTGATTATATTTTTTTGATGGATATATTTTTAAATGCATGTGTTTATGTTATATGTACATGTTGAAATAAATCTTCTTCCTTATAACTATTCAATAAAATTCAAGCATACAAGGCAATTGGTGAAGAACTCCAGCTTAGGTAAGTGGCATTTCAGTTCAGTTGTAACCACAAGACACCAAAACATTGTCCAACGAAAAACTGAACCTTTTTTAATTCTAGAAACATTACACATCATTGAAAGAAACATTCAATACAGAAAGTAGAATGTGTAAGGCACCTCTAGATGGCACATGGTTGACCAGCCTACTCTCTATCTTATTTATGAGCAACATGATTTACCATTTACAGTATGAAGAAAATGACAGTAGGACATAATACATATAATGAAAACATCAATTCTTCAGATGAAGCTAGACATGATGTTACACCTTAATCCATTATTCAGGATCAAATGAAATTTACCAAGAAAACCCAAGATCATATATACTTATCACTTTGTCAACTTGCAAACAGCTCAGGTTAAGCTGGAGAACATAGAAAGACAATTTAAATCCCTCACATAAATCTTGACCCAAGCAACCAAGGAGATGATAAAATTGACAATGTACAGTATTCTATTAGCATTATTACAATAATAACATTAAGTAGGAAGAGGTAAATACACTTCCTAGATGAATATTGGAAGTAAATGTTTAATATCTATGTTCAAATAAGGGTTGCAAAGAGATGAGATATGTCACCTGATGAGGATTTCTATCTATGATTGACTGCTCTTTGAATTTTAGCTTGCATGAATATTCACGATTCCCTTGTATGCACATTGTACCATAGTGATCACAATAAATTTTTCCCAATATAAGGTTGTAAATGGATGTTGTTACCTGATGGGACAGGATTCCCCTTTTCACATGGTACCTCATTAGGAATGAAATTCAATGATTTCAAAAGGACTAGTATTTATACCTTGCTCCACTGAAAAACTTCTCCATCATCAAACTCGAGAGTTATAATGCCAACAGGATCAAGCTGAATAGAACGACCCCAAAATTTGCTCTTGAGATTGCTGTCTCCCCAAAATTTCCAACCATTGCCCTCGCAATGGCATGCGATAATCATGGGATGATGACTTACCTGTGATAAAGGAAAATCAATTGTAACTATTTGATTTTAAGTAACATGAAACTTTATAAGGAAAACAAGTGTGGAAGAAAAGATTCTATCCTGAATACATTAAATTAAAGAAGAGACACTACTAAATCCTAGTGTTTTAAAAGTGCAAGGTGAAAAAAAATCAAGGGGCTTTTTGCACCCAAGGCACACACCTTTTTGAAGGCACAAAATTAAAAAAAAAATCAAAAGAATCAAAATAAAATTGAAAATAATACTAATTCAAAAAAAATACAAACTTAAGTTTTAAAAGAAACTAAATATTTTAGAACGCCCATTAGTTCAAATTAAAATACATAAATATAATATAAAAAACATATTCAAAGTGAAATGCAGAAATGAAATCAAACATGCAAAAATATTCAAGCAATCAACAATTCAAGAATGTGAAACTTCCAATCACTATATTTCTCTCCTAATTGCATTACTCCATGTGGTTAATGTGACGTTAAGCATCTTGAATTCCTATTTCAATGAGATCAGCCATCCACTCTATACCAAGCTCCTTGAGGCAAGCCCAGGAAAGTTCATGTCAAGGTCCCAAAATATATATAAAGAATGGTTTTGTGATTTTAGTTGCATTTAATTATACTTTAGGATTAGGAATCAAAGGTTTGATGAACTATATCTTGTATCAAGAATGGCAAGAGAAGAATACTAGAAAAAGGGGTGGTGTTCTGTTGGAGCATTAAACGAGTGAAGTGAGTGAGGTGTGATCGAAACCATATGGCTTGAACCACACCACACTCCATGAGGTTTTGTGCAACATGATGTGGTTGTGTTATCAGAAAAAAGGCTTTAACGAGTGTACATTATACTTTAAACCCCAAGTTACTAACTATCCACTAGCATGACCACACTCTGCAACTTGTCTCAAGTCAAGAGTTTTTCCTAGATTATTGTCTGTATAGGGGCTGGGCTGAATGGGCCCTAATCTTTCTTTAATTGCTTATATTTATTTGTAGTTGTCTCCTTTTGTTAATGGGCCTTAGGCCATGTTTGGGAGTGCTTAAGTTAAGAATAAGTGCTTATTCGAATAAGCACTTATTTGCATTTGGCACCCAACTTTTTCAAGTGCTTATCTTTTAAAATAAACACTTATTTTATATTGGGCGTTTGGTAGTCTTTTTTTCTAATAAGAACTTAAATAAGCATTTGTGACTATTTTGTCCTTCATTTTCTTTTAAATTTTCAAAATATACCCTTTGAAAACACTTTTATTAAATTACTTTTATAAAACCTTTTTTATAGGGACTTGTTTGGGCTTACCTCGAGGGGCTTGGTCGGTGTTTTGGGGGCAAAGCCCCAGGCCCAGTTGCTAAACACAGAATTGTAGATCCTCAGATCTCTCCCTCTCCCTTTGCTATCTTATCTGGAACCATCGGAACTGCAGAGGTCGGATGCTATAGGGGAATTGCAGTTACAGCCTTTCCCCCTCTTCCCTCTCCCTCTCATTCTCTTTTCCGGTGCCATAGGGGAGCCGCCAGAACTGCAGAGTTTCAAGATGAAGAAACAATGGCACCACTCAGATCCATTCCTTTCTTGGTTTTAGGTGGAACTCACACTCAGCTGATTGTCTCTATCGTCTACCTCTCCACTGATTTGTAAGACTCCTCCAGTTCGACTTTCACTTCCTCCTTGAGCCCAGGAAGGTCAGCTTTGAAGACATGGGATCTCCTTCTAATCAATGCAAGCATTGGCGAATGTTGTTGTCTCGATTGGGAATTGAGGTGTGGTAAGAGCAAAGGTGAAAGGAAAATCCCGAAAGGGATCCCAAATGTCTAGAGAGAATGAATCAAAAATGTTGCTTTGTCGACCACCAAAGATGCTTGGGATGATCAACATCTCTGCTCCTAGGTTTTCATTTGAAACAGATAAAGAAGTAAGAGAGAACTGAAACACTTGCTAGCTACGTGTGAAAGCTTATGAGTTTGAGAATGCTGGAATAATGAGGAACAAAGCCTCTAGATGAGACTGAGATGGAGGACCCAGAGATGGAGACGAAGAGGTTTTAGGGATGGTATTTTAGGAACAGAGGTCAAAGGGTATTTTACGAATTTTTGACAAATATATCAGTCATGTGATGTCACATGTAATGGAAAGTTAACGGATGCTAACGGTAAGGGTAGACTTGGCCAATTCAGAAACAGTAGGGGTAGCGTTAAACAATAGTCAAACAGTACGGGTATACTTGGTAAATTAGCTAAATCATAAGGAAAGTTTAAGAAATATAAGCAAAAAACAAAGTAACACTTGCTTAAGCATATGACATGGTTAATAGTGAAGAGAGTAAGTGGCAAGTACATTTGTAGGGACCACCTCCACCTATTGAGCATTTTGAACATGTAGGGATGAAATCGAAGGGAGTTGATGAGAAGAAGTTATATGTGATTATTGTATGAATCCTGTAGAGATGATGGGCTGAATGGGCCTTAGTTTCTTTCTTTTTATTTAGTTATGTTTATGTTTGATGTTGTTGAGTAGTGGCCCTTAGTTATGGGCCTACTTTCTACTTTTTTATTATTGTTTTAGTGTTGATCACCCTATTAAGGGTATCCATGTAATTGTACTCATTACAATTAAAGAATAAAAGATATCTTTGGGGGCTGGAGAGAGGACCAAAATACTCCCTTCCTTCTTTCGTTTTCTTCCATCTTCCTCTTCCATTACATCTATCTCTTCCAACTTTGCAATCTTCTTCTCTTCTCTTTTTTTTCTATTTTTTTATTTCAGATTATTGTAGGTGGGATCTACAACTTGGTATCAGAGCGACGGTCCTACACTCCTTTTTCTTCTCCTTAATCCCATACACAGGTTGTATGGAGAGTTGATTGGTTAATTGAGTAGCAGTTATTCAGCATAGTTAGAGGAGGTTTTTGGAGAAGATTGCAGTACTTGTTTGGGGCCCAAGGCAGGTTCTTGGAGAGTTTCCTGAAAACACTAGCTAACTGAAGAGTTTTTAGATTAAGGGATACAGAGGGAGTATAGAAGTGGCACTTGGGGCTAGAATAGAAGCACTTTGATTGTCTTTGAGATCTGATCGACCCAAGTTGGAAAGATTTCTGATGCGTCTGGTAGGATTGGCTAGACTTTCTCCCTTTCTCCTATTTTGTTGGGTCCACTGAAATTCCTAATTTGGTTGTTAGAAGAGCAGTTTTGGCCATAGAGCAGTAAATCTTGACTAGTAACACCCTATTTTGATTTTCGTTTTTCTCCGTTTGGCCAATAAGAAAACTTGAGGTGAGATGAAACACCCACAAATTCCGGGTTTGGTCCAAGAGGGTCTATGGAGAACTGTTGGGTGCAGCAACCTCAGTGGAGTTGGACGGAACCAATTTTTTGGCATGGTCTCAGTCCATAAAGATCCATATGGGGGTACATCATTGGGACTAAGTAACTTGCGGAGGATGACCCTACCTATGAGAGGTGGATGTATAAGAACTACACTGTAGTAATTCGGCAATAAGAAAACTCATGGCAAGATGTCTGATAGCATTAGGATCTAAGTCATTGGAGTTTGATCCTTATCCCAACAAAAACTTCGATGAGTTAGCGATGACAGAAAGAGGATGAGCCTAGTCGAGATTAACTGTGTCCTGGTTAGCAGATTCCCTATTTAAGATAATAGATGAATGAGGAAAAAAGATAGATTCTTGGAAACAGGTGGAAAAAGGTGCTACTGGCCCAAGTTAATGAAAACAGATGGGGAAGGTTCATCAAGGTAAGCCGATGGGAGGTTACAGAAAAAATGCGCAACATCTGCATTCCTGAAGAAGCAAACAAAAGCAGTTGGAAGTCTTTTCTTCAGGTTTTAACAAGTGCTTCACCCAGGAAGTTAAGCCAAAACTTTTCTGTCCTTTCACCAAAATCTTTTCCACAACTGGAGAAAAAAAGCAGAGTAATGGCGACGGGAGGTTCAGTTCATATTTCCGTTGTTCACCAAACCGGCCCCTTTGGCAGTTGGAAAACAGCCTTCGTGTGCACTAAACAAGAGGACTTGAGCTGGAAGGAAGTAGAGCTAGGGCTCACTGCAAACTTCCATGTCCTTGAGTTAGTAAGCCTAAAACCTGTTGATGCGAACAAAGCCATAGGTTTCGCCCCTTCAGACGAAGCAGTAAAGCCCTGGACGAAGCTGGAAGAAGTCTGCGTCTTTGGTAAATGGGTTTCAATTTCTCGTTTGTGGCCAATGGTGAATGCAGCTCCCTCTTATCTGAAGTTCAACAGTTGGATTATTGTTCGTGGTCTCCCTTTCCATTTGTGAACAGAGATGTTTGAGCTTATCGGAAGCTTGGGAGGTGTGCTTGTAGAAATTAATGCCAGAACGAAAAATTTATAGGAATTGAGTTTCGCTCGACTAAAAGTTAGGAATAGGGGGACTCACTTCATTCCTCGGTCTGTTCCTATCCTCAAAAGGAATGGCTGGTTTTTCTTGTCAATAGAGGTGGAGAAAACAACTGAGTCAGAGAAGATTTCCGAGTTACTCATTCGAACAGATCTAAGACACATAGAAAGGCATGAGAATCTGATGGGCCACAAGTCGAGTAGGTCAGGTTGCGTAAGGCCCAAGCTTCGAAAGAAATTCTTACCAAGAAGAGAAACTCTTCGAAGCCTAGAACATGCAAGCAAGTTGTAAGGCGCAAAGGGCATATTCATAGCAAAAAGGACACAAGTTAAAATTTAAATCCCCCGAGGATGGGATTGACCCAGCAAGCAATTCGAATGCAATAACCTTATGAAACCCGAACCCGACCCCACAAGGCAGCCTGACTAAGAGTTGGGCGTCATCAATAGCAAAGCCTAGGAACTCCCTTCACAGTTTACCCAGAAACTCCCCTCAGCTTGGCAGGAAAAGCAAGAGAGGTGAATCGGCCACCAACTACTGACTCAAGCACTCGACCGGACTCTACAGAGGGAGAGGAGGAGGAGGAAGAGGATTCAGACCTAAGCTCGTATGTCTCAGAGGA